CGGCGCGGGGGATACCCTCGGCGGTGAGGCACACTCGCAGAAGCAGGTCGGCAAGCAACGTATCGCCCAGACCCTGTCAGAGCATTTGTTTCGTTATTCGGAGCCGGCGCATATATTTTTAATAGAACTGACCCTGCATTCGGATATTTTTGGATATTTTATGGCTAGAAATGGGCCAATTTAGCTCCTTTTTGAACGCCATCATATTAAAGCCGCCATTTTGGGGAACGATTCAAAGAAGCGCCATTTATTTTAATTAAAAAACTGCCCTGATCGATCCTTTATAAACTGTGCACCTACCGCTAAATAGTTTGGGAAGTAAAGGTGGCTGGCACGACAGACATCAGTCGAATGCCGTTGTTCCATAAACATGTGAGTCCAACGTCCCACAGACAACGCATCTTGTATTTCATTGATGCTGTGTCACACAGACAAGGAATCGTGTATTTGATTAATGCTGTGTGACACATATATTTCTTGCATGTATCATAATACCAAGCTGCAGCGCAATCAGTCTCACGGAGAAAACAGTCACCGACCACTACATCAGTCTCACGGAGACAGCTGTCACCGACCACTACATCAGTCTCACAGAGACAGCAGTCACCGACCACTACATCAGTCTCACAAAGACAACAGTCACCGACCACTACATCAGTCTCACGGAGACAACAGTCACCGACCACTACATCAGTCTCACAGAGACAGCAGTCACCGACCACTCCATCAGTCTCACGGAGACAACAGTCACCGACCACTCCATCAGTCTCACGGAGACAACAGTCATCGACCACTCCATCAGTCTCACGGAGACAACAGTCACCGACCACTACATCAGTCTCACGGAGACAGCAGTCACCGACCACTACATCAGTCTCACGGAGACAGCAGTCACCGACCACTACATCAGTCTCACGGAGACAACAGTCACCGACCACTACACCAGTCTCACGGAGACAGCAGTCACCGACCACTACATCAGTCTCACGGAGACAACAGTCACCGACCACTACATCAGTCTCACGGAGACAGCAGTCACCGACCACTCCATCAGTCTCACGGAGACAACAGTCACCGACCACTACATCAGTCTCACGGAGACAGCAGTCACCGACCACTACATCAGTCTCACGGAGACAGCAGTCACCGACCACTACATCAGTCTCACGGAGACAACAGTCACCGACCACTACATCAGTGACTAGGCCTGCAAGTAACGGCTGTAACACTTTCCATTGCAAATGGGGGGGGGGGGGGGGAGTTTACTGTTTACTATAACTGTTTACTATAACTGTTTACTATAACTGTTTACTATAACTGTTTACTATAACTGTTTACTATAACTGTTTCCTATAACTGTTTCCTATAACTGTTTACTATAACTGTTTATTATAACTGTTTACTATAACTGTTTACTATAACTGTTTACTATAACTGTTTATTATAACTGTTTACTATAACTGTTTACTATAACTGTTTACTATAACTGTTTACTATAGCTGTTTACTATAACTGTTTACTATAACTGTTTACTATAACTGTTTACTATAACTGTTTACTAATAAAAAGTTGAAGTTTGTTGCGTATTCTTTACAGGAAGTTGCAGAATCAAACCCATCATTGTTTGGCTGTTGTGGTTTTTGCAGGACAATTTTACGTTCAGTAGTTTGCCATTGCTACTGGACGGTCAGCTCTCGGTACCACTGTCGAAATCAACACAAGACAAACAGCCCGCAGCTGGGATCGAACCCGGTACCCTGGCATTACAAAACGCGTTCGCAACTCCTAAACCACAGACTTCTATTTATTACACATACGTTATTCGGTTTTTTCAAGTCTGGAACATAAAGGGGGGAGGGGGGGGCAGAACGATGGTTGCATGCTTCCTGGAACATAGCGGGGGGGGGGGGGGGGGGGGGGGGGGGGGGGGGGGGGGGGGGGGGGACAGAACGATAGCTGCATACTTCCTGGAACATAGCGGGGTGACAGAACGATGGTTTGCATACTTCCTGGAACATGGCCGGGGGGGGGGGGAACAGAACGATAGCTGCATACTTCCTGGAACATAGCGGGGGGACAGAACGATAGCTGCATACTTCCTGGAACATAGCGGGGGGGGGGGGGACAGAACGATAGCTGCATGCTTCCTGGAACATAGCGGGGGGACAGAACGATAGCCGCATACTTCCTGGAACATAGCGGAGGGACAGAACGATAGCTGCATACTTCCTGGAACATAGCGGGGTGACAGAACGATGGTTGCATACTTCCTGGAACATAGCGGGGGGACAGAACGATAGCTGCATACTTCCTGGAACATAGCGGGGTGACAGAACGATGGTTGCATACTTCCTGGAACATAGCGGGGGGACAGAACGATGGTTGCATACTTCCTGGAACATAGCGGGGTGACAGAACGATGGTTGCATACTTCCTGGAACATAGCGGGGGGACAGAACGATAGCTGCATACTTCCTGGAACATAGCGGGGGGACAGAACGATAGCTGCATACTTCCTGGAACATAGCGGGGGGACAGAACGATGGTTGCATACTTCCTGGAACATGGCGGGGGGGGGGGGGGGGGGGAACAGAACGATAGCTGCATACTTCCTGGAACATAGCGGGGGGACAGAACGATAGCCGCATACTTCCTGGAACATAGCGGGGGGACAGAACGATAGCTGCAGACTTCCTGGAACATAGCGGGGGGACAGAACGATAGCTGCATACTTCCTGGAACATAGCGGGGGGACAGAACGATAGCTGCATACTTCCTGGAACATAGCGGGGGGGGGGGGGGACAGAACGATAGCTGCATACTTCCTGGAACATAGCGGGGTGACAGAACGATGGTTGCATACTTCCTGGAACATAGCGGGGGGGGACAGAACGATGGTTGCATACTTCCTGGAACATAGCGGGGTGACAGAACGATGGTTGCATACTTCCTGGAACATAGCGGGGGGACAGAACGATAGCTGCATACTTCCTGAAACATAGCGGGAGGGGGGGGGGGGGGAGGGGGGACAGAACGATAGCTGCCTACATACTTCCTGGAACATAGCGGGGGGACAGAACGATAGCTGCATACTTCCTGGAACATAGCGGGGGGACAGAACGATGGTTGCATACTTCCTGGAACATGGCGGGGGGGGGGGGGGGACAGAACGATAGTTGCATGTTTCCTGGAACATAGTGAGGGGAAAGGACGATGGTTGCATGCTTCCATCATTAATTTAGAAACGGTAACGCGTAAAAGCTGCTAGTTACCAATGCTCACGATGCTGCCTGCGCACGCATATTCTAAAGAGCGAATTGACGAGAAGAAAACATCGTGTGTCACTTTTACGAGCTATTGCTTACATTTGCGACTTAAACAGGCCTCGCCACTAAATTACATAAACAAACACTGTATCAAAGACAAACAACCAACTCCGGTCTCCCTGCCTGGTTTCTGTACTCGTGTTTCTGAGAAAAAGTATATCGATATTTGTGTGTGCGCCTTTCTGTCCGTCTGTGTGTTACTGCCAGTCTGTGTACACTACAACGACTCGCTGAAAATGTCGCACCCCAATATCTCCAGGAGACGATAACTCTGCGTCATCAAAGGCAACTCCCCACACACCAACTTTGCGTCCTAAAACCCCCTCACACACATTCTACATCAGTGTACTTCAACTTTTGTTTTGTATGAACACGGGCCCGCAAAACAGGGAACATTGTATCACAGACCAGCTGCCAGCTAACCAAACACAGAAACATAATCTAGTGAAGTCAGCAGTTTATTGTCTTCAATCAGATTAAATAAAATCACAATTTCTAGCTAATGCGACATCTGCTGCTGCTGTTATTGTTTGTTGTTCTTTAGAGGTGACAGGCTAAGGAGCGTCTCTATTTATACAAACAGGAAGTCAGAACCAAAATAATCAGGCTAACATTTTTGGAGGGTACCAAGACACTGCCTGTCTTCTAGTTGAAGAACACTGCTCTACGCCACATCCACTTCTCGCAGCCCTTGTTGACATTTGCACAGGTTTGCTGTCCCGTATCCAGCCGTCACCCCTCCTCCTAATGGGGCATAGGCCCACAACCAACCGCAGTCAGGTATTCTATCTTTTGTCATGTCCTACCGTTCCCTCCATGTCCTCACCAGGTTATCCATCTAAGCCTGACTATAAAGATCTTCTCCGCGGTTTTAGGGTGACCTTCTGTAATCATTGACACCCAGTTATTTTCCTAATAATAGTTTCCCCTCGTATTAATTAGGTTAACGCGTTAAGTTCTCTCCTTAAGCTCCGCATGACTGATCAAACTATTTAATCCCAGTCCATGTACATAGGAGAACCAGTTAGTCAAAGCGTGATGTGAAATGGAAACAGTCATTGGCCATGTTTTTGACACATGTCGCAGTTCTAGATGTCGTCTGTCTGTCTGTCCATGGGATAAGGCTTTGTTGTGCTCAAGGAACGAACGGGTATTCCCGCCCATGGCCATGGCGAGTGTGACTAAGCAGTGGTGTCATGTACAAATTAAGTTCTAAATTCTGAACACGGTGGAACTGATACTCTGATGTTCACAGCATCGCATTTCTTTTTGCAGCATCCACACAGAGCCAAGGATGTTGTCGCTTGCGTCAATTACATAAACTACATGCAGGATACCAACTATAGAGAAGGTTAGTTTAATATTATTGTACTGGTTAGCAGAAAAGCTTGTTAAATAATAGCAATGTTAGCACTTCTGTCCGTAAATCTTTCTCAACTGTTAGTTAAAAGTATGTGTATCAATCTTACATTAGGCTCATGAAATAAACAATTATAGATAACATAACTCACAAACGTGAAATACATTTCCATCTGCGATATACTAAAAAGTAAGCAATGTTAAATACTTTCTCTTTAATAACTGCGCACAAATGGAGATAACTCGTCGTGTTCTTGGAAAGCAGTGTTGATGAAATTGTCTCCCCTGATTTATTGCAGTCTTGTGGAAATCACGTTAATCTGACAGATTATATCAAGCACAATTAAGAAACAAACAATATTTGTCTACGATGTTTCAACTATCTCTAAATGTGTCTGTCGATACTTGTTTATGTATTATACTAACTCTCGAAAGGTAGGGCTCCTTGAGGTGGCAAGACCAGGTCTGCAATGCAAGCTACCAACCATCTTTCAGCTGACACCAATCAAACGACCAACCTACCAGCTCACCAACAGGGATTTACCCAACTAAATTATAAACCCACCCACTAAGTAAATAGCACCAACCCACCAATTACCTAAACAAGTTACCCAAACCACAACCCAGCCAACCAGGCTAACCACAAATCTACAAACTAACCAAACCATCAACCAATCCATGTATCAACTAACTCACTCACCAGCCCATCAATCAACCCAGTTCACACATCAACTAACTCACTCACCAGCCCATCAATCAACCCAGTTCACACATCAAGTAACTCACTCACCAGCCCATCAATCAACCCAGTTCACACATCAAGTAACTCACTCACCAGCCCATCAATCAACCCAGTTCACACAGACATGCATACAAATCAATAAATATGCGACAGGCAGACAAGTATTTAGAAAGCAGCATAAACGAAGTTATTCAACAACTAATTCATGATAATTCCGGCCCAAGTGATGCAATTATCTATATAGATGTTGAGAGACAGGCAAGGAGCATGAGGGTTCATCGCAAAAGCGAATGGGCGTCGCTTAATGTAAGAAAGCCTGGCATCTGATATCACAAGGTCTAGTTGAGAACGGAGGTGTATGCAGTCACTGCTGGCTGTACACACAATCAGCTGTACACACAATCAGCTGTACACACAATCAGCTGTACACACAATCAGCTGTACACACAATCAGCTGTACACACAATCAGCTGTACACACAATCAGCTGAACACACAATCAGCTGTACACACAATCAGCTGTACACACAATCAGCTGTACACACAATCAGCTGTATACACAATCAGCTGTACACACAATCGGCTGTACACACAATCAGCTGAACACACAATCAGCTGTACACACATGTCGTCATTGTAACTGACTCACAGAGCATGTTGAGAAAGGTGAAGACAGTCATGCTCCGTGCAGAGTGGCAAGCATCGGTTCAAAGGTCCCGGGTAGTTAGCATCTTTTGGATATTTTCTTCAGGTAATGCCGGTGTGGTAGGAAACGAGCAGACAGATAGACTGACCGATTCTGCACCATTTGGTAGTGAATGGATGTATGACAAGTAGGATGTTGTGAGGGCCCTTTGGAAGCGAGTGAACAGAGGGAGGAGGGGGAAACAGATCCTCAATGTCTGAGGAGAATGGCGCTGCGAGGAGTTGCTAGGGATCTGGCCGACGCTCAACACTCAAGGGAAAGGCAAGACGGATATACAGTCAGACACTTACTAGCACTATCAGAACTGGAATTCTTCGCCTGCTGCTGAAGATGGGGAGTGAGCGCTTATGGGAGTGTCCCGAGCGCTGTAACGTCGATTTTTAATTCAACATTCAGCATGAACAAACAAACTTTATTTGTAAAACATGAAAAGTGTGGCACACAGGCACATTACATACAGTGATTCCACCCACTCTCTGATCAAGAAATTGTATTTTATCTATAGGTTAGTTGCGTATCCTTTACAGGACGTCGCAGAACCAACCACAACAGCCCCTTGCTGTTGTGCGGTTTTTCTAGGCAAATTTACGTCCAATAGTTTGCCATTGCTCTGGACGGTCGGCTCTCTTGATACCACAGTCGAAACCAACGCAAGGCGCATGGCCCGCAGCTGGGATCGAACCCGGCATCCCGGCATTACGAAGCGTTTGCATCAACTTAGCCACAGAGCCGACTATTTTATCTATAAGTTATATTTATATACAACATATAGTCTGAATACAAGCACAAACAGAAGGCATAGGTTCAGGCACACATGGCAAGGCAGACAGACAGATAAGCTAACTGCAGCAAGGCAGACAGACAAGCTAACGGCAGCAATGCAGACAGACAGACAAGCTAACTGGCTGGCAGACAACCAATAAATCAGACAAACAGACAGAAATACAAGTTGATAAACGAACTGACAGTGGTTCCATATTTACTACAGCCCTAATCTGGCTGCTGAAGTGAGAATGTCCAACTGCTCAGATGGCAGTTCTCAACTCAGACAGACAAAATGACAGACAGACAGAGATTCCTTCACTCACCTTTTGAGATACTTGGTGACAGTGTTTCGGGATGTGGATAAAATACAACTGGGAAAAGACACACACAAATCACATGAGCTAGTTAGTGGCAGGGAAAACATCATCTCAGACACAAGAGAGGAGTCTATGGTACAAGCTCCAATACAAGCAATCAATGACGTCTCTGCCTTCCTCACCTCGGGACCTCACAGTCACGTGATGTAGCTTCTCCACACTTCCACTCACCAGTAGCACACAACAGGAGATACAGACTCTAGTTTGATTCAATTCTTGTTTTCTCCCTTTGCTTAACTTTCACCAGTTGTAAACTCCGGCAGAAAGTCCTGGTTGTTCGCTCACTTCTGGACTTTGATCTTGTTCCTGAATGTATATGCACCTCCCTTTTACAGATCTTGCATATTTCTGTGCAGACTGTTGGTTCATTGCTTCTTCCAGTTAGAAGAAGCAGCCAAAATTAGTCACCATTAACGACATGCTTCTTGGGGAGGGGGCTGTAGCTCTACCTATTCCCCCTCTCCTCCAAGCCAACGGCAGTAGGCCTACCTATTCCCTCTCCTCCAAGCCAACGGCAGTAGGCCTACCTATTCCCTCTCTCTCCTCCAAGCCAAGGGCAGTAGCTCTACCTATTCCCTCTCCTCCAAGCCAAGGGCAGTAGATCTACCTATTCCCCCTCCTCTAAGCCAAGGGCAGTAAGTCTACCTATTCCCTCTCCTCCAAGCCAAGGGCAGTAGGTCTACCTATTCCCTCTCCTCCAAGCCAAGGGCAGTAGGTCTACCTATTCCCTCTCTCCCAAGCTAAGGGCAGTAGGTCTACCTATTCCCCCTCCTCCAAGCCAAGGGCAGTAGCTCTACCTATTCCCCCTTCCCTCCAAGCCAAGGGCAGTAGCTCTACCTATTCCCCCTCTCCTCCAAGCCAAGGGCAGTAGGTCTACCTATTCCCCCTCCCCTCCAAGCCAAGGGCAGTAGGTCTACCTATTCCCCCTCTCCTCCAAGCCAAGGGCAGTAGGTCTACCTATTCCCCCTCTCCTCCAAGCCAAGGGCAGTAGGTCTACCTATTCCCTCTCTCCTCCAAGCCAAGGGCAGTAGGTCTACCTATTCCCCCTCTCCTCCAAGCCAATGGGACCCCGGAAAAGGATTTTGATGAACGCAAAAGCCCATGTCAGCAGAATAAAAGAACATATGCTGGTGCCCATATTAGGTTAGGTTGACCACGAAAACAAGTTAAGTTTTAAACCTATGATTACAGTGAATGCCGACAACGTGCTTGCCACTGCAGAGCAACGTGGCTTAAAAAGCCGTGATCAACATGATGGCAACCAGCTTGGCCAACACAGACAGATTTTAGTTCTGGAGGGACAGTGTCTGCGTGACTGGGCAATGGATGTGCAGTGTCTGCGTGACTGGACAATGGAGGGACAGTGTCTGCCTGACTGGACAATGGAGGGACAGTGTCTGCCTGACTGGACAATGGAGGAACAGCGTCTGCGTGACTGGACAATGGAGGGACAGTGTCTGCCTGACTGGACAATGGAGGGGCAGTGTCTGCGTGACTGGACAATGGAGGGACAGTGTCTGCGTGACTGGACAATGGAGGGACAGTGTCTGCCTGACTGGACAATGGAGGGACAGTGTCTGCGTGACTGGACAATTGAGGGACAGTGTCTGCGTGACTGGACAATGGAGGGACAGTGTCTGCCTGACTGGACAATGGAGGGGCAGTGTCTGCGTGACTGGACAATGGAGGGACAGTGTCTGCGTGACTGGACAATGGAGGGACAGTGTCTGTCTGACTGGACAATGGAGGGACAGTGTCTGCCTGACTGGACAATGGAGGGACAGTGTCTGCCTGACTGGACAATTGAGGGACAGTGTCTGCGTGACTGGACAATTGAGGGACAGTGTCTGCGTGACTGGACAATGGAGGGACAGTGTCTGCCTGACTGGACAATGGAGGGACAGTGTATGGAGTCCATGTGACTGGGCAATGGAGGGACAGTGTCTGGAGTCCACGTGACTGGGCAATGGAGGGACAGTGTCTGGAGTCCGCTTGACTGGGCAATGGAGGGACAGTGTCCGCGTGACTGGGCAATGGAGGGACAGTGACTGCGTGACTGGGCAATGGAGGGACAGTGTCTGGAGTCCACGTGACTGGGCAATAGAGGGACAGTGTCCGTGTGACTGTGCAATGGAGGGACAGTGTCTGCATGACTGGGCAATGGAGGGACAGTGTCCGCGTAACTGGGCAATGGAGAGACACTGTCTTCGTGACTGGGCAATGGAGGGACAGTGTCTGCGTGACTGGGCAATGGAGGGACAGTGTCCGCGTGACTGTACAATGGAGGGACAGTGTCTGCGTGACTAGGCAATGGAGGGACACTGTCTTCGTGACTGGGCAATGGAGGGACACTGTCTTCGTGACTGGGCAATGGAGGGACAGTGTCTGTGTGACTGGGCAATGGAGGGACACTGTCTGCGTGACTGGGCAATGGAGGGACAGTGTCCGCGTGACTGTACAATGGAGGGACAGTGTCTGCGTGACTGGGCAATGGAGGGACAGTGTCTGCGTGACTGGGCAATGGAGGGACAGTGTCTGCGTGACTGGGCAATGGAGGGACACTGTCTTCGTGACTGGGCAATGGAGGGACAGTGTCTGCGTGACTGGGCAATGGAGGGACACTGTCTGCGTGACTGGGCAATGGAGGGACACTGTCTGTGTGACTGGGCAATGGAGGGACAGTGTCTGCGTGACTGGGCAATGGAGGGACACTGTCTTCGTGACTGGGCAATGGAGGGACAGTGTCTGCGTGACTGAGCAATAGAGGGACACTGTCTGCGTGACTGGGCAATGGAGGGACACTGTCTGCGTGACTGGGCAATAGAGGGACAGTGTCTTCGTGACTGGGCAATGGAGGGACAGTGTCTGCGTGACTGGGCAATGGAGGGACAGTGTCCGCGTGACTGGGCAATGGAGGGACAGTGTCCGCGTGACTGGGCAATGGAGGGACAGTGTCCGCGTGACTGGACAATGGAGGGACAGTGTCTGCGTGACTGGGCAATGGAGGGACAGTGTCCGCGTGACTGGACAATGGAGGGACAGTGTCCGCGTGACTGGACAATGGAGGGACACTATCTGGAGTCCGCGTGGCTAGACAATCAACAAGAAAGTCAGACAATGCATTGCATACTCCTTGTTAACTGTTGCCTCGCTGGTCAGGCATCTTAGTATATTTGTTCCTGCAATGAGGTGCTGTCGTCATTTTGGAGTAGACAGGTTCAAATGCCGTCATGACAACTGTAGCCTGCTTTGTTGTTGTTATTTTCTCCTTAAATGTGTCCCTTCCCCTTTCTACTTCTTCATACCAGTCAATACTTGTCTATGTGTCTGTCAGATATACCGCCCCTAGGGTTTCCCTGCCTGTTTATTTCTGTGTTGACGCCACCATACACAGGGAACACAGACAAAGGAAGTCAGGACATGGGAGGTAAGGATATGGGGAGGGAAGGACATAAGAGGTAAGGACATGGGAAGTAAGGATATGGGAAGTAAGGATATGGGAAGTAAGGATATGGGAAGTAAGGATATGGGAAGTAAGGACATGGGAGGTAAGGATATGGGAAGTAAGGACATGGGAATTAAGGACATGAGAAGTAAGGATATGGGAGGTAAGGATATGGGAAGTAAGGACATGGGAACTAAGGGCATGAGAAGTAAGGACATGGAAAGTAAGGACATGGGAAGTAAGGACATGAGAAGTAAGGACATGGGAAGTAAGGACATGGGAGGTAAGGACATGAGAAGTAAGGACATGGGAGGTAAGGACATGGGAAGTAAGGACATGAGAAGTAAGGACATGGGAGGTAAGGATATGGGAAGTAAGGACATGGGAAGTAAGGACATGGGAAGTAAGGACATGGGAAGTAAGGACATGGGAAATAAGGACATGGGAGGTAAGGACATTGGAGGTAAGGACATGGGAGGTAAGGACATGGGAGGTAAGGACATGAGAAGTAAGGATATGGGAAGTAAGGATATGGGAAGTAAGGACATGGGAGGTAAGGACATGGAAAGTAAGGACATGGGAGGTAAGGACGTGGGAGGTAAGGACATGAGAAGTAAGGACATGGGAAGTAAGGACATGGGAAGTAAGGACATGGGAGGTAAGGACATGGGAGGTAAGGACATAGGCGGTAAGGACATGGGAAGTAAGGACATGGGAAGTAAGGACATGGGAAGTAACAATATGGGAGGTAAGGACATGGGAAGTAAGGACATGGGAAGTAAGGACACGAGAAGTAAGGACATGAGAAGTAAGGACATGAGAAGTAAGGACATGAGAAGTAAGGACATGGGAGGTAAGGACATGGGAAGTAAGGACATGGGAAGTAAAAACATGGGAAGTAAGGACCTGAGAAGTAAGGACATGGGAAGTAAGGATATCGGAAGTAAGGACATGAGAAGTAAGGACATGGAAAGTAAGGACATGGGAAGTAAGGACATGGGAAGTAACAACATGGGAGGTAAGGATATGGGAAGTAAGGACATGGGAAGTAACAACATGGGAAGTAAGGACATGAGAAGTAAGGACATGGGAAGTAAGGACATGAGAAGTAAGGACATGGGAAGTAAGGATATGGGAAGTAAGGACATGGGAAGTAAGGACTTGGGAAGTAAGGACATGGGAAGTAAGGACATGGGAAGTAAGGACATGGGAAGTAACAACATGGGAAGTAAGGACATGGGAAGTAAGGACATGGGAAGTAACAACATGGGAAGTAAGGACATGGGAAGTAAGGACATGGGAGGTAAGGACATGGGAGGTAAGGATATGGGAAGTAAGGATATGGGAAGTAAGGATATGGGAAGTAAGAACATGGGAAGTAAGGACATGGGAAGTAACAACATGGGAAGTAAGGACATGGGAAGTAAGGACATGGGAAGTAACAACATGGGAAGTAAGGACATGGGAAGTAAGGACATGGGAAGTAACAACATGGGAGGTAAGGATATGGGAGGTAAGGACATGGGAGGTAAGGACATGGGTGGTAAGGACATGAAAAATAAGGAAATGGAAAGTTAGGACATGGAAAGTTAGGACATGGGAAGGAAGGACATGGGAGGTAAGGACATGGGAAGTAAAAACATGAGAAATAAAGAAATGAGAAGTAAGCGCACAGGAAGTAAAGAAATGAGAAGTAAGTACACAGGAAGTAAAGAAATGAGAAGTAAGTACACAGGAAGTAAAGAAATGAGAAGTAAGTACACAGGAAGTAAAGAAATGAGAAGTAAGTACACAGGAAGTAAAGAAATGGGAAGTAAGGACATTTATAGTAAGAACATGGGAAGTAAAGACACAGAAAGTCAACTCACAGTCAAACAGGTAGTCCCGTTGATGCTGGCAGGCGACCAGGTCCTGGCAGCAGTAGGAGCACACCTGGCTGCTGCTAACGCTGCACCCCAGGGCCTGGTTGTTGGCACAGTCCTGCATACAACAGACAAAACACAGGGCTGTGACTGAACAACCCTTCATGACATCCATTCAAGGCTTGGTCTGCAACTAACTGGCGCACTCGCCTGCAATCAGACGTTTCTGAGACATTTTTTTCTTATTCAAATATCCAGAAACCGTGAGTTGTTGACCCTTTGGCTGGGTACTATGAATATCGCAACCCTTCAGTTTTGATTCCATGATAGATACCGTAAATCTGGGAGCATGGTATCGAACTCCCATCAATGCAGTAACTCCTTCACTCCAGCTTGTAGATGCCAGAATATGATCTAGTATGTTTAACTGCGCTAGTGTTACTGCTTTCATACCAGGCATGGGATGTTGACTGATCTATAACTGTGCTAGTGTTACTGCTATCATACCAGGCATGGGATGTTGACTAATCTATAAGTGTGCTAGTGTTACTGCTATCATACCAGGCATGGGATGTTGACTGATCTATAACTGTGCTAATGTTACTGCTATCATACCAGGCATGGGATGTTGACTGATCTATAACTGTGCTAGTGTTACTGCTATCATACCAGGCATGGGATGTTGACTGATCTATAGCTGCGCTAGTGTTACTGCTATCATACCAGGCATCGAATGCTGACTGATCTATATCTAAATGTTTATCAATATATCTGGAAAATACAACACAGCTGTAAAGACTTTTTTAAAATTTGGTCGGGAGGAGGGAGTGTAATGAAATATAGGCAGAAATGAGTTAAATGAACAAAGCATACATTTCAGACCACCACACGGCGTACTAATCTATCACTGTGTGAAATGACAGAAATGGGTGATTAGAAAGCCATGGCCTAGCCAGCTTTACAGAACATCTGCACGATAACCGCCATGACATCTGACAGTGAGGGATGCAACATTCGACGAGTGCCCGTAAGCTAGCACATGCACTGTGACCAGCTGAAGAGATACGTTCATCCAAACGTGACCACCAAAGACAGGTGACAGGGGAGTAATTGAGAAGGCACGCCTAAAAGAGCGGGAAAGCGGGGGAATAAAGTCAGAGCCAGGGGCATGAGAAGAGAGTTAGCCACGGAACCGCTTGAGAGGACAGTGAGGACCGGACCGCTGGGGAGACCAGTGAGGAGAAAACTAGTGCTGTACTTCGTTTAGAAGGTATATGTTAAACTTGGAGTTTAGCTAGAACAGTGGATAAGGAACTCGTAGAGAGTCATACGAATAGCCAGTATCAAGATAATAAAGGTTTCATATACTATTGTTTATTGAATTTATGAAGCCTGTGTGACGAGAATAAACCAGCTCTTGTGTAATTGATTACATCACTGGCCTTGTTCTTGAGTGCAATTTCTTTTGATGATTTGGTATGCATCAATATAGTGGCTAGACGGTCACCTGTGAACTGGAAGGTCGTGAGTTCAGGTCTTAATGAATGACTTTTTTGTCATTAAGAAAAATGAGCTTGGCTTCCAGGTCGACCTACCCTTAAACTGCTACTAGGTAAAGTCATGGGAAATAAAGGTGGTCGGCATTATAATGACCACATCCCCCACGGCGTGCCAATTGCTCTATAAAATATAGGTCTAACCCTATATGCCCAAAATTCCCGAAGACGTGGAAAGGGCCCATGACTTATTCATCATTATATGTTGTATGTTTTGGTTTGTATCATTATTTTTTAGACAAACAATGTGATATAAAGAATTTGTTATTGTTATTATTACTGGGGAGGAGGGGGGGGGGCATTTTTGGGGGGCATGTTTGGGGGGCATGTTTGGGGGGCATGTTTGAGGGGGGCATGTTTGGGGGGCATGTTTGGGGGGCATGTTTGGGGGGCATGTGGGGGGGGGCATGTTTCTTTGTAAAGTTGGCCATTCTCACAGCTACTGTTCCTTTTTGTTGTCTCCCTTGGCGCTGGGATCTATCTTATAGCACGACGAGATGGGAAGGGGGAGGGGGGTGTGCGAAATATAGAAAAGACTTATGGATGGACAGACGGACAGATAGACGGACAAGTAGACCGATAGGCCAACAAACAGGCAGACATACAGGCAGGCAGACATACAGACAAAGAAAAAAACCAATGAACTGTGACCAGTGTGTTGCTGATCATAGCTAGAGCACTCACCTCGTATTTCTGGCAGGTGTACTCTAGTTTGTTGTTGTCGTTGGGTCGAACCTGCAGCTGGCAGGTCTGCGACAGAACAACATAACGGCTGGTTATACAGTCGTAACAATTCTTAACATTTTAATCGGGTGAAGCCACGAAATGGTTTATACTCCAGGGGGTGTGAAGCCCCATCAATCTCTGACGTTACAACATTGGCTTCTCAGGTAATGCCCTTAATACTTTGTATAGTTACCAGGGTCATGTTTTTGAGCGATATGCCCCCGTCTCTTAGCCTGACAGCACGTACAGCTTGTGTGATGGAAGCAAATACAATAATTCAATAAATACTCCCATGACCCTTGTACTGCAGGAAAGCCTTGAGGTCGGAGGTCACTGTGGCAGAGTGATTTGCCTCACGCTCCGAAGGTAGTGATTTTATTTACAAAGGATCACGACTGCAATTTTTAATGTAATCTATGGGAATGTCGCAGAGATTGTGGAGTTCGTGCTTTGTGTGACACTTGTGACAGGCTGTCTGCGGAGATAGATCCAGCCATGCGGAACATGTTCCAGCTCAATGAAACCCATCATCTTAGCAGAGAAATGTCCCCTCCCTCTTTTTTCGAACGAACAAAAGAAATCGAACACAGCTATCACGTGACAACATTCGAGGCTATGTCCAGAACCCCTTGAAACAGAGATTTCCCCCAGAACCATGCAGTAGCTGGCGGTCGCTGTAACTCAGTGGCTAGCGCTGTTTCCTACTGGCTCTATGGTCCTGTGTTTGAGACTGTAATGTTGTGTCAAATTATCCAGGCTTCCAGGCAGACACAGCTTACACATTGTTATTCCCCCCCCCCCTTTTTTTTTCCTATTCGTCTTTTCTTTCTGGCCTGCCATCCTCTTCTCTTCTATGTCTGAATGTCTGTCTGTATTTCTTTCTTTCTTTCTTCCTTCCTTTCTTTGTTTTTTTCCTAAATCCCCCATTCTCTTCTTGCAACCTCAAACATGCTACCAACACACACCCAGCTTACAGAGAGTTCCCTCGGACTGCCCGCCACACACCCCAGCTTACAGTGAGTTCCTTCAGACTGCCCGCCACACACCCAGCTTACAGTGAGTTCCCTCAGACTGCCCGCCACACACGCCAGCTTACAGAGAGTTCCCTCAGACTGCCCGCCACACAAGCCAGCTTACAGAGAGTTCCCTCAGACTGCCCGCCACACACGCCAGCTTACAGAGAGTTCCCTCAGACTGCTCGCCACACACCCCAGCTTACAGAGAGTTCCCTCGGACTGCCCGCCACACACCCCAGCTTACAGTGAGAGCCGGCCACACACCCCAGCTTACAGAGAGTTCCCTCGACTGCCGGCCACACACCCCAGCTTACAGAGTTCCCTCAGACTGCCCGCCACACACCCCAGCTTACAGTGAGTTCCCTCAGACTGCCGGCCACACACCCCAGCTTACAGAGAGTTCCCTCAGACTGCCGGCCACACACCCCAGCTTACAGTGAGTTCCCTCGGACTGCCCGCCACACACCCCAGCTTACAGTGAGTTCCCTCGGACTGCCCGCCACACACCCCAGCTTACAGTGAGTTCCCTCAGACTGCCCGCCACACACGCCAGCTTACAGTGAGTTCCCTCAGACTGCCCGCCACACACTCCAGCTTACAGTGAGTTCCCTCAGACTGCCCGCCACACACCCCAGCTTACAGTGAGTTCCCTCAGACTGCCCGCCACACACGCCAGCTTACAGAGAGTTCCCTCGGACTGCCCGTTTCACACCCCAGCTTACAGTGTGTTCCCTCAGACTGCCCGCCACACACGCCAGCTTACAGAGAGTTCCCTCAGACTGCCCGCCACACACGCCAGCTTACAGTGAGCTCCCTCAGACTGTGGCTCGGGTACCTATCTGTATACACAGGCTGGTATCAACTAAACACAGTCAGGCTGGCTCAGGTACACAGTACACAGGCTGGCTCGGGTACACAGTACACAGGCTGGCTCAGGTACACAGTACACAGGCTGGCTCGGGTACACAGGCTGGCTCGGGTACACAGTACACAGTCTGGCTCAGGTACACAGTACACAGGCTAGCTCGGGTACACAGTACACAGGCTGGCTCAGGTACACAGTACACAGGCTGGCTCGGGTACACAGGCTGGCTCGGGTACACAGTACACAGGCTGGCTCAGGTACACAGTACACAGGCTGGCTCGGGTACACAGGCTGGCTCGGGTACACAGTACACAGGCTGGCTCGGGTACACAGGCTGGCTCGGGTACACAGTACACAGGCTGGCTCGGGTACACAGGCTGGCTGGGTACACAGTACAGGTACACAGTACAGGCTGGCTGGCTCAGGTACACGGGTACACAGGCTGGCTCGGGTACACAGTACACAGGCTGGCTCGGGTACACAGTACACAGGCTGGCTCGGGTACACAGTACACAGGCTGGCTCGGGTACACAGTACACAGGCTGGCTCAGGTACACAGTACACAGGCTGGCTCGGGTACACAGTACACAGTCTGGCTCGGGTACACAGTACACAGTCTGGCTCGGGTACACAGTACACAGGCTGGCTCAGGTACACAGTACACAGTCTGGCTCAGGTACACAGTACACATGCTGGCTCGGGTACACAGTACACAGTCTGGCTCGGGTACACAGGCTGGCTCATGTACACAGGCTGGCTCGGGTACACAGGCTAGTCTTTCATACTTGTGTCCCCTTCTCACATTAGAAGAACTAACTGACGGTAATGCGGCTACTCACATCGTAAAGGTCCGAGGAACAATCGTGTGTCGCTGAGCAGGTGGTGTAGTCATAGGGATCCGTACATCTGGGACAGGTAAACTTGTCACCTGAGGATAAGTGTCAAACATGACTGCCTGATGGAAATACTGCACACACGATGGGATGAATTCAAGAGTGGTGAAGAAATAAGAGAAATGTCCACCATTTACAATACAGTGAAGATGGTGCTATAAAGACAAAGTCACGAGAACAAACGAGCAAAGAATCACCAACAAGGCATCAACTGTTTCAGTCCCAACCAACGTTTGGTGCGTGGCTAGGTCTTCAGTGAATCCCACCGAAAATGTAACATATTCTCGGTTGTTTTTTTTTTTCCACATTTGACCAGAGCATACTAAGAAAATCTGGCTATCATCGCACTTAGCTTCTTTGAAAAGGACATACTCATGGTCTGTGCCAGTGTTTCCCAAATGTTGCTAAGTCGCGGCGCCTTTTTATTAATTAAAATTTTCCCACGGCGCCCTAACCTAAGTAAAAGTATGACTACAGTAGAACCTCGCTTAACGAGCACCTCATAACGAGTAATTCGCATAACGAGCAAAATAAATTGTTTTTAAAAAAAATGACTTGCTTAACGAGCGACGTTTCGCATAACGAGTGGCGAGGAGAGGGGGAAGTCCCGCATTGTGCGCATGTTACATCAGTGTGTGTTTAGCACTGGTTCCAGTAGCATCGTAGTGTCGCTTGTGATCACACATTTTCTCAAACTTGTGTTATATTGTGATAAATGTAGAGGAATCCTCCAGGCCTAGAAGATGACCTCCCTGAAGAATTCAGTTCATCAAGATCCAGTTTCTGCCTCCCAACACCACTCCGTTACGCCAGCCCATGGACCAGCAAGTTATTTCTAACTTTAAGAAGCTCTACACTAAAGCACTCTTCGAGTATTGTTTTCAGGTGACTGAAGGGACCAACCTCACTCTAAAGAGTTTTGGAAAAATCACTTCCACATCGTTGCCTGCCTCAAGATGATCAACAAGGCAGGGGAAGGGGTTACCAAGAGAACCCTAACTTCTTCTTGGAAGAAGCTTTGGCCGGAGAGCGTTGTAGATTTCTGACTTTAAGGGGTTCGAGACAGTCAGTACCTGTGGAACCTGTAGTCAACGAGATTGTGTCTTTGGCCACTATCATGGGATTGGAGGTGGATAACAGTGATATCGAAGAGCTTGTGGAAGAGCACAACCAAGAGCTGACCACCCAGGAGCTTATGGAGTTGCATTGTGTTTCACAGCAAGAAGTTTTGGGGAAAAGTTTGTCAGAGGAGGAGGTAACGGAAAAGCAACAATCTTCTGGCGAAATAAGAGAAATGCTGAAAGCATGGCAAACTGTTGCATCTTTCATCGAGAAACATCAACCTAATAGGGAAGCGCCTGTGCGCGTTGCAAATTTATTTAATGATAATGCTGAGTCGCCTTTTCGCCAAATTTTGAAGCGTCGGCAAAAACAAATGTCTCTGGACATCTTTCTAATAAAAAATAAATAAATAGCTATGTACTATAATTATTTCGAATTTTTTTTTCTGCAAATCGAATTCGCATTCTAGGTTGGTTCGTTCCGCGTTTGAAGAAAATGTGAAGATGATTCACTCTCCTTAATAATATGTAAATAATTTTTTTTTCATAAACATTATACATAGCATTTTGTGAGTATTTTTTTCAACATTGAACGCATTATCGTATTTTAAATTAATTTATATGAGAAAAATTGTTTTGCATAACGAGTGTTTCGCTTAACGAGCATGGTTCTGGAACGAATTATGCTCGTTAACTCTTTGAGTCCCAGGGGGTTTAGCATCACAGGCCCAGGGGGTAGTAAAGAAAATAATAAAATCGGCACATCATGCGTTCATTGGGCTTGTAGGTAGTAACCTATGAACGTATGATGCGTTCCTTGGGACTCGAAGAGTTAAGCGAGGTTCCACTGTATTCGTTATGTGCGAGGTCGCGGCATCTCGGGGCGCCGCGGCGCACAGTTTGGGAATCACTGGTATGTGCTAATAATTATTTACACAAATGGGATTTTTCAGCGAAATTCGTGTTGTACTCAATAAGTTAAAGAGATTAATTAGGCGAGGACGCCCTAAGAAACCCCGAAACGAACGCTAGGGAAGGGCAAAGGTGCTGGACTAAATTCCATACATAATATTGAATAGATTGCACAAGATACCGCGGAATGGGGGGATAAACTGCGAGACCCACATGACGTTTCCTGGCACAACAGGACACTGATAATGATGACGATAATGATGATGATAATGACAACGATGATGATGGTGATACTATACACTATTGAAAGGTTCCATTTGGTACAGTTCCGCTGTCCCCTTTCTTGCTTTTCACTACTACACAACCTAATATATGAATATTTGAAACAAGTAGCCAATGTCTGAGACAGCGACTGGACATTTTGACTCCTGGACACTGCCAACTTGTTTTTTCAGATGTGAGTCTCACACATCTCCTAGCCTTGTCTCATACCTCACTTAGCCTTGTCTCATACCTCACTTAGCCTTGTCTCAGACCTCTCCTAGCCTTGTCTCATACCTCACTTAGCCTTGTCTCAGACCTCACTTAGCCTTGTCTCATACCTCCACTTAGCCCTCACCTTAGCCTTGTCTCAGACCTCTTCCTAGCCTTGTCTCATACCTCACTTAGCCTTGTCTCAGACCTCACTTAGCCTTGTCTCAGACCTCACTTAGCCTTGTCTCAGACCTCACTTAGCCTTGTCTCAGACCTCACTTAGCCTTGTCTCATACCTCACTTAGCCTTGTCTCAGACCTCTCCTAGCCTTGTCTCATACCTCACTTAGCCTTGTCTCAGACCTCACTTAGCCTTGTCTCAGACCTCTCCTAGCCTTGTCTAATACCTCACGTAGCCTTGACTCATACCTCACTTAGCCTTGTCTCAGACCTCTCTGTCACGAAATGGCAGTGGTACACCACGGAAAACCACTCCGGTGCGTGAAACATAGCTTGCTCCGACACATCGTACCGGCCTATCGGCAGTACATGTACAGAAACAACGTCATCGTATACACACAAGTGCAATTCAACTATAGATCAGACTAGCGTCTAAGATATGACACACTAATAAACGTCATCAGCACGGACCGGCGTTCTTAGCTTTGCACCAATGCACATTCAGACGGGGAATTCCCGAGTGCTGCAAGTCTAGAAAGGAGCACAGGGATAGCGTCAGTAGCAACGAACCTCACTACAGAAGATGATGACGTAGGTGCGCACCTAGACCAGATTCGGAGACATTCTTGCGCAGAGGGCTAATTCTGGGGGAACCATCTTCCTTCCGTCTATTCAACTCTGACCCGCCGTGAAACAACATCTGCAGAGTATTGTAGTTACCATCTAACACAATCTAGCGAGGTTAAGAGTGAATTGCATTCAGAAGAGGGGGTAAGAGATCCTAGAGCTCAATGTGGCCTTTGTACAAGTGTTATTTGTATTTTGATTATATGTACATTATGTTATAAAGCAGTGAAAAGTGTATATTTTGGTTGCTACCATTACCGATATTTCCTTTTGGGCGCAATGACTTAAATGTGGGGGAAGTATTTAATTAATATACTGGAATGGATATTCTTAAAAGTACCCAGGGTAATTGGGGAAATGATGGATCTGTGTAAAATGATTTAATTTGGAGAATTATGGTTCTTTCTACTTAAGTAATTTATATTACTAAGGGTACCCAGGGTAATTGAGGAAATAATGAATATGGAGAATGATGTATGCCCATAAACTGGGAAATTTATTTAACCACGTGGGTGGGTAGTACTTGATAATTTGGGACTGTATTACACCACAGGGGTGGAACCATAATATGTGAATATATTTACCACATGGTGGGATGATAATTTGTGAATGTCTTAAACCACATGGTGGGATGATAATGTGTGGATGTCGTAAACCACATGGGTGGAAACTATAATTTGCAAATGCATTAAACCACATGATGGGATGATAATGTGTGAATGTCGTAAACCACATGGGTGGGAACTATAATTTGTAAATGCATTAAACCACATGGGTGGGAACTATAGGGTGAATGAATTAACCCACAAGGGTGGGATTGTAATGTCTGAAGCCTTAAACCACATGAGGGGGGAATGTAACTGGAAAGATTGAAATGGATTGAACCCCATAGAGGGGAAGGGAAAAATATATATAGTTGTGTGTGTGGGTATATGTGTAAATTTTGAAGTGTCAGGATTGTCATAACCATGGCGGGACTGATTAACCCAGTCACCGGGTTAATGAAAATAAAATATACATTGAGATTCACATATGAAGCGATGTGACAACTCAAATGAATAGAGTTGTCAGAAGCTGAGGTGAAGAGAGTTAGTTAAGTATTATGGATAGTAGCCAGGCAATTTAGAGGCACACTCTCACAAGCGGTTGTTTTTGTTCTTGTCTCATTCCAGCCCGGCTGTGCCACGAAACAACTACACAACAAAGTTCTGCATTGTTTTTTATTGTAAGCCACTGGATGGCAAAGTTAAATGAACACTATAATTTAACCACTGTGAGTGGAATTTTAAGGGCTCTGACCCATAAGCTTTGTGCCAAGCCTTGAGGGAAGAATTCCCATTTGTGAGGAGCAACCAGGCGGGAGACCGAACCATCAAGGACTTCACCTAAAGATACATCAGGTGACTGTGTTGCCCCACGAGCCTGAATCTGCCATCCAAAGCTAACTCCTCACCGAGGAAGAAAATATTTGTGTGTGTGTGTGTGCCAATCACCTACTAGAATTTTATACCTATTACAATGTATGATTGTCAACTGTTCACCCACCTCGTCTAGTTTTTATATACTACGGTGAGAGTGGGCTTGGAGAGAAAGAGTGTGAAAGATATCTCTCTCATCCTTTCCCTATGTATCTTTCTGGGGGCTCATATCTATTGACAGGAGGGTGGGCGACGGAATATCTAGACTAGCCTGAAGCTTCCTACATCCAGAGCTAGTCTTACCTTTCTGCCTTCTGTCACATGACCACGTCACAGTCTCTTATATCTCACGGGGCCATCCCCCTAGTCTTTATAACTTCACGAGCCAACTTTCTTGAGACTGCGGACGCTGGCATGTTGTAGAGAAGTCTTTCTAGTATAGACATCTCTAATCTATCTGCGCTATCGCCACACTCTCCTAGCCTTGTCTCATACCTCACTTAGCCTTGTCTCAGACCTCACTTAGCCTTGTCTCAGACCTCACTTAGCCTTGTCTCAGACCTCACTTAGCCTTGTCTCAGACCTCACTTAGCCTTGTCTCAGACCTCTCCTAGCCTTGTCTCATACCTCATTTAGCCTTGTCTCATACCTCACTTAGCCTTGTCTCAGACCTCTCCTAGCCTTGTCTCATAACTCACTTAGCCTTGTCTCAGACCTCACTTAGCCTTGTCTTAGACCTCACTTAGCCTTGTCTCAGACCTCACTTAGCCTTGTCTCAGACCTCACTTAGCCTTGTCTCAGACCTCACTTAGCCTTGTCTCAGACCTCACTTAGCCTTGTCTCAGACCTCTTAGCCTTGTCTCAGACCTCACTTAGCCTTGTCTCAGACCTCTCTTAGCCTTGTCTCAGACCTCACTTAGCCTTGTCTCAGACCTCACTTAGCCTTGTCTCAGACCTCACTTAGCCTTGTCTGAAACCTCACTTAGCCTTGTCTCAGACCTCAGTTAGCCTTGTCTCAGACCTCACTTAGCCTTGTCTCAGACCTCACGTAGCCTTGTCTCAAGCTTCACTCAGCCTTGTCTCAGACCTCTCTTAGACTGGTCTCAGAACTCTTAGCCTTGTCTCTAGCCCCAGTTAGCCGTGTAAGTACTAAAACAGATGTATCAATGAACTCTCTAGTACATGTTGTGATAACAGGCGATAACCATCACATACAACCACAGCTTCACAAACAATAACACAGAATCACATGTGGATATTACCTACAATTGGAGCTTCCGTTGTAGTTGGGGCTGAAATATAAAGGTCAGGCTTATCAGATTATTCCTTCCAGTCACTCTCTGTCCTCCAGTCACTCCCTGTCCTCCAGTCACTCTCTGTCCTCCAGTCACTTCCTGTCCTCCAGTCACTCTCTGTCCTCCAGTCACTCCCTGTCCTCCAGTCACTCTCTGTCCTCCAGTCACTTCCTGTCCTCCAGTCACTCCCTTTCCTCCAGTCACTTTCTGTCTTCCAGTCACTCCCTGTCCTCCAGTCACCCCCTGTCCTCCAGTCACTCCTTTTCCTCCAGTCACTTCCTGTCCTCCAGTCACTCCTTTTCCTCCAGTCACTCCCTGTCCTCCAGTCACTCCCTGTCCTCCAGTCACTCCCTGTCCCTCACTCCCAGTCACTCACTGTCCTCCAGTCACTCCCTGTCCTCCAGTCACTCCCTGTCCTCCAGTCACTCCCTGTCCTCCAGTCACTCCCTGTCCTCCAGTCACTCCCTGTCCTCCAGTCACTCCCTGTCCTCCAGTCACTCCCTGTCCTCCAGTCACTCCCTGTCCTCCAGTCACTCCCTGTCCTCCAGTCACTCCCTGTCCTCCAGTCACTCCCTGTCCTCCAGTCACTCCTTGTCCTCCAGTCACTCCCTGTCCTCCAGTCACTCCCTGTCCTCCAGTCACTCCCTGTCCTCCAGTCACTCCTGTCCATCTCACTCCCTCCAGTCACTCCCTGTCCTCCAGTCACTCCCTGTCCTCCAGTCACTCCCTGTCCTCCAGTCACTCCCTGTCCTCCAGTCACTTTCCCTGTCATCCAGTCACTCCCTGTCCTCCAGTCACTCCTGTCCCTGTCCTCCAGTCACTCCCTGTCCTCCAGTCACTTCCTGTCCTCCAGTCACTCCCTGTCCTCCAGTCACTCCCTGTCCTCCAGTCACTCCCTGTCCTCCAGTCACTCCCTGTCCTCCAGTCACTCCATCTCATCCAGTCACTCCCTGTCCTCCAGTCACTTCCTGTCCTCCAGTCACTCCCTGTCCTCCAGTCACTCCCTGTCCTCCAGTCACTCCCTGTCCTCCAGTCACTCACTTCCTGTCCTCCAGTTACTTCCTGTCCTCCAGTCACTCTATCTCATCCAGTCACTCCATCTGCAGTCACCCCTTTTCCTCCAGTCACTCCATCTCATGCAGACATGTGATCTTCAATCATTTCAGTCAGACGATCATATTTAGTCACAGGATCACATTTAATCGCAGAATCACAATCAGTCACATAATTATAAATCACAATCAATCGCATAATTATATGCAATAATATGATCACATTTAAACCACGATCACAGTCAATCATATGGTACCATTTAATAAAAAATGCGACTATGTTCAATAACATGTTCATATACAATGACATTTATTCACATTTAACCAGACGATCACATTCAATCAGACAATCACATTCAATCACACAACTACACTTAATTACATGTATCTTTAATGTCATAATTATATTCAATCACATTCGGTCAGATGATGTCATTCAGTCAAGCGACGCCATTCAGTCAAGTGATGACATTCAGTCAGCGATGCCATTCAGTCAAGCGATGCCATTCAGTCAAGCGATGACATTCAGTCAGGTGATGACATTCAGTCAGGTGATGACATTCAGTCAGGTGATGACATTCAGTCAGGTGATCTGATCATTTATAACGGACCATAGTATCCTAGAGGCGATTCTCTTAGAGATTACTTATGCTAATCAATCTTTCCCAAGATGGCGTCTTGGGGATACCATAATTGACCTCAGTCGTCACTCGAATGTCGATGACGTTGTACCCAATTACTGGCCACTGCACGGCCATGTCCACTTTAGAACGTCGACCACGCTCAACATGCTGCAGCTAGCCGCAGAGCTGCCAACGGTGTTTGGTTATATGTGTGGCCTCCATTATGTGTGCCAAGTGTATTGGCTGAGATTAGGTTATGTGCGCTAGTTTGATTGCTTTGTGTTCCTAACCGTATAAATTGTCCATTTCTACTTGTATGGGTCCTTCTGCACTGACTTGTGATCCGATGTTGATTCGTTGTTCAAAGCATCAAAACCTGAGTCACTCTGCGTTGATTGACCCCACGGCTTCATGTCCTCAGGTTCACCCACTCCCTACCCCCCACCTTTTTTTTCCTTTTTCCCCAAACCACTCTAAGAGAAGTCAGTACAAACAGGAAAAACAAGTGATACCCAATCCTAGGACAGTTTAGTGATCGCCTTGCTCTGACGCATGTGACACAAGGGTTCTCAACTTACTGGGTGGTGTCACTGTTGTGACCCCGGGTGGCTTTGCCGTGGGAAACACATCTGTGAAGAGAGAGAGAGAACAGCGCCATAAGAAGTCTCTCTGACTCCAGTTCAAACAACAGACCATTAACTTGGTACATAATCCAGATACAACCAGTGAGTGAACAAACCGTTTTCTGTGCCTTCAGATGCACTGGGCAAATGGGGCTAGACTTACATTTTATAGACTAATGTCATTCGGTGGGTCAACATCACGCCCGCCGCCTTTACTTAGCAAGACGTTACCTAGGACCCATTTAAGGTTAAGTTACCTGGGATTCATTTAAGGTCAAGTTACCTGGGACCCATTTAAGATCGGGTTACCTGGGACCCATAAAAGGTCGGGTTACCTGGGAACGATTTAAGGTCGGGTTACCTGAGGACCATTTAAGGTCGGGTTACATGGAAACCATTTAAGGTCAGTGTAACGTGCGTAGGTGCTTCATTGATTGTGACGAGTGTAAAGTGACTAGGGGTGTCGCAATGTAACAAATGGCATCAACACTTAACATGCCACTGGCCAAGAGTAACACAACATAATGAATGCTGAAGCTTCCAACGTAGCGGAACGAGAACTCTTTAAAAGTTCCATTTGTGTATTGACAAATGCAATGATCCACACAATGAATGCATATGCAGGTAATAATCAACTCGTTCAACCAAAGCTCGCTCGTACATCCATGTATTGATATGTCCTCACGATAGGTCGCAGTCCGACCTTGAGATCCAGACGATTATCTTTGTCCTCGGACAAGTCCGAATTAAGCAATGAAAGGATACCGGCTTACTGCCGAGAATGTAATGTTCACCAGCTTCCTGCTGAGGTCTATCTTGGAATCCCGGGGTAAAACGTCCTCAAGGATCCAACTTCATGTAACGTTAGCTTCCGTGGGATCCCGGGGTAAAGCGTCCTCAAGGATCCACACGTCCGTCTCCTTCGGACTATAAACATCAACTGTCTTTGACAACAATACCTTCACAACGTTACGTATTGTTGTTGACGTCTTATTTGCTCACACCGTACCGGTGCGTTCTGGTGCACATTCGCACGCGACAGTCAGGTTACCTGGGAACGATTTAAGGTCGGGTTACCTGTGAACCGTTTAAGGTCAGGTTACCTGGGAACGATTTAAGGTCGGGTTACCTGGGAACCGTTTAAGGTCAGGTTACCTGGGAACCATTTAAGGTCAAGTTGCCTGGAAACCATTTAAGGTCGGGTTACCTGGGAACCATTTAAGGTCAGGTTACCTGGGAACCAAGGTCATTTTTAAAACAAAATCCGGCCCAGTCCGGGCTTGAACCTACGACCTTTGAAACGGCTACGAGAGTCTAGCCGCTACACCACGGCGGCTCCCAGATATATTACAAGTAGTCACTACAATAGATTTTGTAAAGTAGTAGTAGTAGCAGCAGCAATAGTAGTAGTAGTATTAGCAATAGTGGTAGTAGAAGTAGTATTAGCAACAGTGGTAGTAGTAGCATTAGTAGCAATAGTAGTAGTAGTAGCAGCAGCAGCAATAGTAGTAGTAGCAGTAGCAGCAGTAGTAGTAGTAGTAGTAGTAGTAGTAGTAGTAGTAGTAGTAGTAGTAGTAGTAGTAGTAGTAGTAGTAGTAGTAGTAGTAGTAGTAGTAGTAGTAGTAGTAGTAGCAGCAGCAATAGTAGTAGTAGCAGTAGCAGGAGTAGCAGCAGCAGTGGTAGGAGTAGCAGCAGTAGTAGAAGGAGTAGCAGCAGCAGAGGCAATAGTAGTAGTAGTAGTAGTAGTAGTAGTGGTAGTGTTAGCAGCAGCAGAAGTAGTGGTAGGAGTAGAAGAAGGAGGAGGAAAAAGAATAGCAGTAGTTGGTGTTGTTGATGTTTTGTAGAAATATATAAGTTTACTTAAATTTAAATGTCAGATAAACTTTCTTCACAAAAAAGAATGATTTGTGTTTTGGTGTGTCACTTTCGCTGATAAACAACATACAATGAGAAATATTTGAAACAAGCAGCAACTGTTAAGTACGACGATTGGACATCTATAATCGGGGATACTGCCATCTTGCCCTATGCTATCTCCCGTCTCAAAAAGTAGTTTCTTTTATATATATATATATATATATATATATATATATATATATGTGTGTGTGTGTGTGTGTGTGTGTGCATGTGTGTGTCTCTATTTTTTTCTGCCTATTTTTGACTGTCTCTCTATCTGCGTCATCCCCCCCCCCCCCCCCCGACCTCCTGCATCTGTCACTTGAAGTATAGTCCGTCCCCAAATTTGCGCATAACTTTAAAAATATGTTACTTGGTAACCGTTCCGAGTAAACTGTTGGCATTTGACCTGCAACCTGTTAATATTCATGTCTTGTAAGAAAATTATTATAATTTCAACAAACATCTTCTTCAGCATTCCGAGCTCTTGAGGTTCATTGCTGCAGATATCACCCACTTCCATTGATCTCTCTGCTTGGTCTTCTCTGTCCAGTTGGTGACACCAAGCGTTTGCAGGTCCAAACCATTTCAGTCTATTAGCTCTCATGATGCCAGTGATCAGTGGTGATTTACACAGATTATGAATTTCGTTGTTGCTTCTCACTTTCCATTCCCCGCTGTTTGCACACGAAAACACTGTTTTCGAAAACCTGTAATAAGGCTTCATCTCCAAGTTTCAGAGCCAAATAACACCACTGGTCTAATCAACATAAACAAACATCAAGTTTTTTTTTAAACCCTCTTATGTGAGGCAAATGGGGTTAAAACAGACAGGATTTAACGCATACAGTTAGCGTGCTTACAGTAAAGGGCTTAAGACAAAGTTGGCAAAATATCAAAAATAACGCATTTTAGAGATGACCCGGGCGAGAACCTAGGGCGCACGCATTCTGAACACTGAAGTATAGAGGTCATGTGCTATTTGTTATAATGATTGCTGAATGACTCATAAAAAGTAGACGATCTGTGTCTGGTCTGAGTACCCAAAATATTAGTCCTACAAAGATCACAGAAATTCGTCGCTGTAAGAAAACAGCAGCACCTGTGCAACAATGAATTACCAAATCTTAAGACATGGGAAATCTTAGGCCACGTGCAAATGTTCGTGTTGACCTGTACTGGAGCTTTTGAGATATTTGTTTTAGTTTAAGGGCACGATTTTTGGAACGAACTATAATAGATGTTTCTGTAAACAAGTGATAGTCTGGACAGGGAAGATGATCGACCCCCACCGGGACCCACCCAGCCAACACACACAAACAGATCATACAGGTAAACAGATCTTCCCGCTGGATCTTGCATGTGGTCAGATCCTCGCAGCAATAGAAACAGGTCTCATTCTCCTGCGGATGGCATCCGTACAACTCGTGGTTGACACAGTCCTGTCAGAAAGGCAGACCTTATTTGATTACATATTCAGCCAATCTTTGTTTACCAACATTATGTGGTTGTTCATTAGCAAAAGCAGACTCACATTATATCAAACTTTACAATCTTTACTCAGTTAATACGTCATCGATACGACATAAAGAAACTAAAAGTACCTGGCAAGGTTCTTCTTATTCACTTCCTCTTTTTTCTAGCTCTTCTGGCTGCCTCGACCATAGGCACATCGTGCTGTTGTAGAGTTTCTCTGATGTTATCCTTTCATCTTGTTCTTGGTCTACCTCGTGCTCTACGTCCTTCTTCTCTTTCCATGTATGCTTTGTATGGTATGGTGTCACAAGACATTCTCTCTAAGTGGGCAAAACATTTCACTTGCTGTCTTTGTATGTAATCCAGAATTGGTTCTGTGCCGACTTGTTCTCTTATGATCTCATTCCTGATCTTATCTCTTATGGTCACTCCTACGGCCCTTCTCAGACATCTCATTTCCATGGTTACTAATTTTTTTTTATGGTTTGTTGTGAGTGACCATGTCTGGCACTGGTAGCACACAGTTGGAATAAATATGCTTTGAATAAGATGTCTCTTTGTGCTGACTGGGATTGTCTTATGCTGTAAGAGGGGAGCTAGCTGCCTAGCTACCTGACAAGGTTAAATATCTAATATCGAAATGGAACTTCCCGTGTGGGTTCCAGGGTCCTGTTGAAGCGAAAACAAGAATAGACCCACTAGCTACCAAAAAGCACATCGTAAGAGTCGACTAATTGGGAGCTTCCTTCAAAGTCGGAGTTCATCTGCCTAAGAGGAAAGGAACCAGCAGTCTGCATACAAATAATTCAGATCTGTAAAACGGATGCACACAGGACTGCAGTCAAGAAGTGGATGAACAACCAGAACTTTCCACCAGAGCTTACAGTTGGGGAACGTGATGAATGACGAAACATAAATGGAACCAAACACACACACACACACACACACACACACACACACACACACACACACACACACACACAAACTATGCATCTCAAAGAGAACCCAGATGGGTTGAACAGTATTTCACTGTTTGATTTCTACTTAATGACTATCTTGTGTTTTACTACACCAGAAAACAGATACCTACTTCCTCAGGCTGAAATGAACTCAAATTAACACGTGCTACAGAAATTCTATTGCTAGCGTTGTCACTGGGAACAGACATGTTTAGGTATCCTTGAGGCTACTGGGGAACACAGTCCTCACATCTGACCCGTTTACACCCACCGGTCAAACTGGGATATTGTTTCCAGGAAGCTATTACCAGTGTTCTACTGAAATGTCCTTAAAGGTTGAACAGGACAAGCGAGCGTCCCTGTCGGACTGTCATTGAGAATGTGGCTCCTTGAGTCACAGGAACGCGCCAACCTTTAGTTACCAGCCTGCCTGGGGAAAGGGGGCGGGGATAGTCAGTGTGAGATAACTGGGACAGAAACAAAAAATAACTATTTCTAACGCCTACTAATGCTTTCTTATGATTGGTCAATCAAACGGCACAGAAGATGGTTACAAAATGCCGATACTTACCACGAAATATCGATTACAGTAGCATCGGGAAGAAACAAGACAAAGTACAATTCGTGGATGTAGTTTGACTCTTGAGTCTTCAGACAACAATGACATCACTAAACTACATATGTCCTAACTCAGGGATTATTTAACCAAACTCAGGCCATGTTCGAATCTGCTTAAACACCTCTCGGGGTCTAAGGTCGCCTACTCTCCAACGACGCAAGCCACAATCGTGTTGGAAAAGATCTTGTCTCAGAGACGGCCGTCGTCTGAACTTCTTCAAGCACAACTGGGATATAGACCAGTCATCCCCTTGTGGGATGCCATTTTTTGCTATACTGAAGCCCCACCCTGGCTCTTGCCAGGGGCCGCAATATAGCCTGGCCATCAATATGGTCAAATGGATGAACGTGGCTTCCGGGACGTCTCCATGGGTGATCCTCATCCGCATGATAGCACTTTGTGTCATCGGGTGTTTATCGCTTGTGATATCCTAGTGGGGTAAAATGTACTGGGCTCTCAAACAGTTGAATCTGTGTATATTGACAGAGAGGTAAGAATTGTTTATTGACACAGTTATATCCCTTCTTCTTCACGTTGGCACAGAGAAAAAATCTCGTAGCTGGAAAGTTTTTGTGGGTTCTCTCGGGGGGATCTTTTGAAGGTAGAATGAGACCGTCCTGTGCCAGGTCTCGAAGCTACAACTAGAGACTGCATCAATCGAATGCACTCAACCAGCAAACCTTGGCGAGTTGGTTCAGCATGACTGGTGATGACAAGAGATATGGACACAGATACCGCCCCAAGGAAACGTGTTAATGGACGTCACAGTTGTACCTTAGATCCGTGAGTAATATTACTTATCTGAAGCCGACAGAAATAAAGACAAACAGGTAGACAATCAAACAGAAAGACAGTCATATAAAAATAAAGAAGGAAACAATAATGAATAAAAGAATGAATAAAAGACAGAAGGAAAGAAAAATAGAAAGAAAGAAGCAGAAACTGAAGAGAAAGAGGAAAGGAGAAGAAAGAGGAAGAAGCAACTCTTACGTCATAGCTCTGGCACTGGTAGTCTAAACTGTAGTAGTCTGCTGAGTGTACATGCAGCTCACACCACTGAAACGACATGGCAGCCATCTCTTTTTAACTCTTACAAATATGTTCTCACAACATCTGTCTACTTAACTCTTACAACCATCTTACAACATCTGTCTATTTAACTCTTACAACTATCTTACATCGTCTGTCTATTTAACTTTTACAACTATCTTCTCACAACATCTGTCTGTTTAACTCTTACAACATCTGTCTATTTAACTCTTACAACTATCTTGCAACATCTGTCTATTTAACTTTTACAACTATCTTCTCACAACATCTGTCTGTTTAACTCTTACAACATCTGTCTATTTAACTCTTACAACTATCTCATAACATCTGTCTATTTAGCTCTTACAACTATCTTCTCACAACATCTGTCTGTTTAACTCTTACAACATCTGTCTATTTAACTCTTACAACTATCTTGCAACATCTGTCTATTTAACTCTTACAACTATCTCATAACATCTGTCTATTTAGCTCTTACAACTATCTTCTCACAACATCTATTTAACTCTGAAAGTGCCACACAAGATGTGCAACATGTTTCTATAGACGCTGGTGCACAGATCAGTAATGTTCATACTGACCTCTTCCACTCCGGGAGGGAGATTTACCTTTCTTGTTGATTGTTTTCTCTTTTACCCAACTCTTCTTTAGCTACTCGAGGAGGAAACGAGGCACGTGTGGGGGATGTCCCGATTGCAGGGATGCTAACTCTTTACTCAGACATTATTTCCTCTTCTACCCTGGGATGTAGAGATACTTTACAGTCTTGTTAAGTCTTTCCTCTTCTACCCTGGGATGTAGAGCTACCTTACAGTCTTGTTTAGTCTTTCCTCTTCTACCCTGGGATGTAGAGGTACCTAACAGTCTTGTTTAGTCTTTCCTCTTTCATCCTGGGATGTAGAGGTACTTTAGTCTTGTTTAGTCTTTCCTCTTCTACCCTTGGATGTAGAGGTACCTTACAGTCTTGTTGAGTCTTTCCTCTTCCACCCTGGGATGTAGAGGTACCTAACAGTCTTGTTGAGTCTTTCCTCTTCCACCCTGGGATGTAGAGGTACCTAACAGTCTTGTTTAGTCTTTCCTCTTCTACCCTGGGATGTAGAGGTACTTTACAGTCTTGTTGAGTCTTTCCTCTTCTACCCTGGGATGTAAAGGTACCTAACAGTCTTGTTGAGTCTTTCCTCTTCCACCCTGGGATGTAGAGGTACCTAACAGTCTTGCTGAGTCTTTCCTCTTCCACCCTGGGATGTAGAGGTACCTAACAGTCTTGTTTAGTCTTTCCTCTTTCATCCTGGGATGTACAAATAGTGTATGGCCCCCTTTTTATATTTGAGCCTACAGGGGCGCCCACAAAAGGTAAACAGTCAGGGGGAGCATGGAGTCTGAGCCGCTAGATTCTGACAACCTTGACTCACTGAGCCTATATAGTAGGGCTGTACCGAATATTCGCTTCGTTGCCGAATAGTGGACTTAAAAACTATTCGGTATTCGGCCGAATATTTGCGGTCGGGCTGAATTCGAATAGTGGTTACCCTACATCCGTTTTGTATACACTGCGATGGACTGAAATAACTCTCTCATTAACACAATAGTTGTTGTTGCCTAAGTCTGTCGTAGCAGGGAAAACTGTGACCCGGCTGAGTGGTACAGCAGCTGGCAAGGTCTTTACCTGCTGACTCGACCGAGGCATTACAGCTGGGTTACTCAAACTGGGTGAGTATGCCAGGGGTGCCTCGACTAAAATCAAGAAAAGTCGGCTATAAATTGTGACATTATTAAAGAAGGCATGAAGATAATTAAAAGTTAACATTTAAATTTTCTTTCCTCGCCACTGTCGAAAAGAGTTTTTTTTCCTTGTTTCACACTCAAAGTGTATCATACTGCATGAAATGCCAACCGCAGCGTGCTAACAAATTGTCTTTGTGTTTATCTCGAGGTGCGACTGATCCTCCTGTATTCGTGAAGGTGCAGCCGGATAGGTAAGGTGATGACATTTTGGCTGAAATGTTGAAGTGAAAAACGTGATCTGTACAATAGTCACTGTTAGCCTCATCAAGTTAGCACTCATATTTAAAGGCAATGCGTTGTGAGTCCTGGACAATCGATAGGCAAGCCAAACAATTGCTTGACGCCTTAGATATGTGGTTTTACAGAACAATGCTTAAAATACCCTGGACACAGCCCCCCCCCCCCCCCCCCCAAAAAAAAAAAAGCAACTAAGAGGTTTTGAAAGTTGCGGGATCCCAAGACAACTAATCACAGACATCAGAAGGAGACAGTCATTATTTTTCGGCCATGTTATTTATGAGAAGAGGGAAAATGGAACATGTGGTGACCACTG